ACTCCATTTTATTTAAAAAACACATCTTCTTTATCCAGTTTCCAGTTGATGGGCACTTGGCCTGTTTCCAAGCTTTAGCTATTACAAACTGTTGGCAGCCTGTCTTGATCAAGACCAGCTTAAGCAGAGGGGTCACCATTGATTGCAACCTCTTCTGAGGAGCCAGATTTGTAGCAACTCCCATTGACTTAACCTCAAGGTCATATGGCTTGTGCATGCCAGAAAAGGCCTGAGGACTTCAAGCACTCCCCAATCCTACCTCTCAGATTAATAAAACAAATGTTTCTCACATCTCAAACCAATCTCTCCCACCCAATCCATCAGGGAATCTTGTTAAATCTAATTTCAAAATATGGTCAATATCCAACCAAATCTGGTGCCTTCCATCACTGCATTTCTCATCTTGATCATTACAATAACCTGCTACTTGTCTCCCTTCAGAGGAAAGGTCACAAAGGCTACCCTCACCTAGGTAAAGCCTCCTCCCTGAGCTCTTCTACCCTCTCTCCTCCTTGTCCTCTCTGCTCCACCCCCATGGGCTTTTTCTTCTTTCCAGCTCAAGCCTTTGCACTTGCTCTTCCTAAACCTATACTGCTCATCCCTTAGATATTCACATGTGTTAATCTCTAAATTTCTCACTTCATTCAAGTCTCCACTTAAATGCTAATATCTCAGAGAGTTTCCTTGGCCCCTTACCTAAACAACAGCCCTCATATTATCTACCCCTTGTCCTTCATTATTTCTATTGATAGTATCACCTAACATATATATCTTCATTTGTCTTTATCCCAATGGAAACGTGGTAAAGTCAAAGACTTTCTTTGTTATTTTAATTCCTTATTTTAATTTTTAATTTTTTTTTTGTATTGGGATTGAACTCAGGACCTTGCACAGCACGCAGCGGCACCACTGAGCTAAATCCCTGGCCCAATTTGTATTATTTTTTTTCTCTGAGGGAATTGTGTTACGACCTCCAATATATTGCAGATGCCTAGAATGGTACCTGTCACATAGCAGGTGCTTAATAGATAAGCATTAAGTGAAAAAATGAAATATAAAATGTAAAGATCTAGACTTAATGAAAGCTATGATCTCAATGAATAGGGATATTTACAGGTAACTACTCAATGATTTAAAATAGTCAATGTTCAACTGCCAATCTAGTTGGCTTTCAAAATAAAGTGTATTTCCTCAGAGTAATAATTCCTTTATAAATTGCTACGATTGTGCCTCAGAATAATTGTTATTAGTAAAAGCTGATTCAGATGCCCTGCCAGAAGTATAGTTTTAGCTTATCAGCTCTTTGCTTAAAAATTCTCTAAGAAAAGACTGACTTTCCAATCTATCATTCTTTCTTCATTCGTAATATTCACAGATGGAACAAGGTACAGAGAAGGATTTGTGTGGTGTTTTGCAACCATGGCAATTCCAGTTTTGAATCCCTAACGAGCCATGTGACCTGATCAGAGCACTTACCTTACCTGTTAGCTGTGACCAAATACCTGAGATAATCAGCTTAGAAGGAGGAAGACTTTATTTTGGCTTGGGGTTTCAGTGGTTTTGGGTCACGGGGCCCTGTTACCTTTGGCCTTTCACAGTGTAGTACACTATAGTGAGAGCATGTGGTTCCCTCGTTGCAGCTGGGAAGCAAAGATTCAGAGGAAAGGGTGAGGGAATCCACTCCCCCCTTCAAAGGCACACTCTTGGGCCCGGGGTTTAGCTCAGTGGTGCTGCTGCCTGCCTCTCAAGCACAGGTTCCTGAGATTGATCCCCAGTACAAAAAAAAAAAAATGCACACTCTTTCTTCCACTAGACCCCACCTTCGAAAGCTTCCACTGCATCCCACCAGCACCAGGGGCTGCAGCAAGCCTTCAATACAAGGGCCTTTGGGAGACATTCCAGATCTAAACCATTACACCCACCTCTGTCTTAGCATCTAAGTGAGTTAATAAATATTTCAAGAGCTGTTGTCAAAGTGGAGTGTGATCAGGCTGGGAAGCACTTAACATATTTCTATATTTGGAAGTGTTCAATAAGGGCAAGCTTGATCAAGGAAGTAATTTTCTGGAAAAAGTAGAATTTTACTTGGAATTTGAAAATTATTGATATTACACAAAAAACTGCTGGTCCCCGCCGCCCCCAAACAAATAAAGTTCTTTTTCTCCCGATGGTTTATAGGGAAAATTAAGGAATTCATTATTTTAGATATAGTATTTAATATTTGCAAATCCTATGTGGGCATCATTATATTAATCACATTACAAATGAGTCTCCAAAGCAATTCAATGACTTTATGAACTAGATTAAATTTTATATGACTTGCATCAGCAACTTTAGAAAATTTCCTATGCAATGTTAATTTCTGTACTTTATCAGAACAGTTTTGTATTAATATACTCTGAAGACCATTTCTTTCAGGTAAATATTATAGCTGAAATAATTACTCTGACATCCTCATTGAGATTTAATTCACATACTGTAAAATTCACTGACTTGAAAAGAACAAAGATGTGTCATGCACATGCATCAACTCCTCACAATGAATGTATTCATTATATAGCACACATGTTCTAATAAAAAAAATTAATCAACTTAGATCTTTTTAAAGAAGCAAGTTAGTTTAATAGACATTTAATGCCATTAAAGTATGTGTATTTAGGGATTCTCTTGGGTGTCACAGAACTCTGAGCCCCTTCTCATTTGAGTTAATGACCTCTGCCTCACGCATATTTAACTGCCTTCCTAGCAGGGGCGGTCTCAAACTTCTTTCTACTTCTCTGAGTACCTTGAACTGCCCTGTAATGTAGGAGTAGGAACTCTCTTGTTACTTGATTAATGTATAAGTGCACATGGTAGGTTACATTATTTATCTAATTTAATCTTCACATAACTCATTGAGGTGAGTACTATTTTTATTATTACTATTTTACAGATGAGGAAACCAAGATTAAGAAACTTAAGGAGGGCCGGCGATTTAGCTCAATGGTTCCGCCGCCTGCCTCGAAAGAAAGCATCAGGTCCGAGTTCGATCCCCAATACCAAAAGAAAAAAAGAAACTTAAAGGAATTTATCTATCTAAGGTCACCTGTGCTCTGGACTTGTGTGACTCTAGAGTTCATCTTTTTTTTTTTTTTGGTACTGGGGATCGAACTCAGTTCCTTGCGCTTGCGCTTGCGCATCAGGTGGCGAAACCACTGAGCTAAATCCTGGTCTAAAGTTCATCATTTTAACCCTGATACTGCTTCTTTTATCTTAATCTTGATTTGTGTTTACTTGAATAAGTAATTCAGGTTTCACTATCAAGAAATTAGAAAATACAGATAAATGAAAAGGGGAAAGTTACCCAAATCCCCAAACGAACAATTTTAGATAATTCCGAACTAGCAATTTGGCGTAAATTCCTACATATTTATATATAATTATAAATATATAGGCAGTTATAATGTATAATTATATATAAACTTATAACTACTTACCAAATGAGATGATGCTTTTATATATTCTGCAATCTGTCATAAT